CAGCACCACATGTGATTATCGGCCAGGCTGGCACAATTAACTAACTCACATTCCAACTTGCTTCCCTCCACTACCATCACCTAAGAAAAATTCATAAGTACGCAGGCAGAGTTGCTGTATCTCAGCGTCCTTTCTGGGTCCCTCTGGTTTCCCTCTCACAGCTACTGTGTGTCCAATTACGCAGCCAACCGTGTGGCCGGGTTAGGGCAGAGGAGCTGGTGATCAAGACCAGAGTGGAAACAACTGCCTGGTCCTTCTGAACTACAGACAATTAAGTATCAGAGCTAAATTATGACAGGAAATGAAATAAAATATGAGCCGAAATCCCAAATGAAATGAAATCTAATATGCAGACAGTATGTTTTATTTGCCTACTATTTATCTGTTAATTCCTCCTTCTGATGAATTCTTTGAGCAATCTTAGCTATACACCAAAAATTTAGGCAGCCTGCATTAAAGAGTCTCTCTTGAGACGTAGGCAGGTTTTCCTCAATGAGAAACGACGACAACTCCTATTGTGAGTGGTGTTGTCTTTGTCGGCTCCCGCCCAGGTTACTCTTCTTCAGTGTCTGCAGGAGAGAGTTTGCACCAGGAAGGTGATTCTAAGGCAGTGGGGAAGCCGGCATCATTAGGGAGCAGGCACTTTTATTTCTCCCTCTTTCCCCTCCTGTCTTAGAGTGACAAAAAAAACCCAGCCAAAAGAAGGTTGCAAGAACTGACATTAATTCAGTACTTTCAGAAAAGAAAGCCACCCCCTATCAAAATTCATTCAAAGCCCCTGCCAGTGCAGTTGGGCTCATTGGCAAAGTTGAATGCAATTATGTTATTTTCTCTGCTTTAGACTTCAATATACAATTCTTTCTGAAAACAAAACAAAACAAAAAACACTCAATTCTCAAAACTCTTGACTTCTTTCCCCTCGGGCAAATGGAGTTATTAATAGACATTCCTTTACTCAAAACCAGGACACATAACACAAGGTGGAGATTAAGGGGATAGAAGACCACGGATTTGTCTCAAAATGCCTGTGTTCTTTGAATCCTTTTTCTTTCTCTGAGCTTCCCTTTCACTCACCCCAGCGTTGAACCCTGGAGACGTAGCTCCTGTGTTGTCTTCCAAGACTCTCAAGCACTGAGGTTCTCCGCGGGGCTTTTCTGATGGTATTCTGCACAGAGCCACGTCAAGAGCAGAGCACACGAGGAATGCGGTAGAAGGACAGGGGTTAAGCTGCTATTCAGAGCTTGAGGAAATGGCCGTGCTGGTCTAAGCTACAATTTCTGCACCACGTCTTACCTGTGTTGTTTAGTTGCTGTCAAGCTGTTCCAACTGATGGCAATGCTGTGGGTGCAGAGAACTGCTCTACTGAGTTTTCAAAGCTGTGCCCTTTGGGAAGTAGATGTTCAGGTGTGTCATTTGAGGC